ACTAGCTGGTTACAGAAGCAGGTTAGCAACACAGATGTGTGCCAGGCACATCTGCCGGCATGAAGGGTGCTGCTAGCGATCATTTTAATCTGCCTCGTGATGCTGCGCATGAACACGCTGGTCCTCCCTTTGCTGAGCCCATTCCTGAGCAAGAGATGAAAGGTTCCCCAGGAACTTTTATGAAAGAGACCGGCAAGGTCAATAGAATTGCTGTCAGTCCACAGTTGACGTACATAATGTGACCTCAAAGCGTGAGTGCGTCGGTTACCAGTGCTGAATTTTATCACTTGGGTCACCTGCTGCAGATCTGTCTTAAGGAGAAAACATCACATTTTACAGCAACAGCCATTTCTGTCTTAGAGATTATGGCTTTTGCGTAGTTTGTTGTGTTTAAAAATTTCCTTGAGTCCCACTCAGTATGAGCTGCAGCAGGAACTGGGTCGTTATCTGTTTTTAATAAAAGCAGCAGCGTGACGAGGACCCGATTCTTAAATAAGAAGTCCTTCTCAAGCCAGTTGTGTGGAGGTGCATCCTGTTGGGTCTTTGGGTTCATGCGTCGATTAGTCATAACATTGATTCTAGCTTCTTGCTTTTCTTTTGCGTCAGCGTTTTGGCCTTTTTGCCCCTGGACAATGTGGAGAGGCTGCAAGAATTCATTTTTGTTCCATTCCTAACAGTTGTGTGAAAAGTATCGCCACCCGACATTCAAAAAGATTTCTTTAGGATAAACTAGTAGTATCTATTCAAGAGCAGAGATGTCAGTTTGAAAACTAAGATGCACCTGACCCAAGCCATGGTATTTTCATTAACCTCATATGCAAGTGAAAGTTGGCCGATGAATAGGGAAGACCGTACAAGAATGAATGCATTTGAGTTATGGTGCTGGAGGAGAATATTAAAAACATCATGGACTGCCAGAGGAACAGACAAATCTGTTTTGGAAAAAGTACAGTCAGAATGTTCCTTGTAAGTCAGGATGACCAGACTTTGTCTCTCAGACTTCAGACATGCTATCAGGAGGGACCAGTCCTTGGAGAAGGACATTGTGCTTGGTAAAGTGGAGGGTCAGCGATACAGAGGAAGCCCCCAATGAGATGGACTGGCACAGTGGCTGCAGCAGTGAACTCATGTGTAGCACCGATTGTTAGGCTGGCGTTAGGCTGGCGTAGAACCTGGCAGGGTGTGGTTCTGTTGTGCATACGACTCAAATGCACCTAAAAACCACAATTAGCATCTAAAAAACAAAAGCAAACCCACAGTGTCCTGTCGATTCTGACTCCCGCAACCCTATAGGACATTCTCGCTAGCGTTCCTGAGACTGTTAATCTTTATGGGAGCAGACAGCCTCATATGTCTCCCAAAGAGTGGATGATGGGTTTGAACCACCAGCCCTGTGGTTGGTAGCCCAGCTCTTAACCTAGGGTACCACCAGGGCTTCTTAATGGGATCTAAAGTTGTGGTTTATTATTATTTTTTAAATGTGTTTGGTCAGCTCAAAGAACATTAAAAAGCTTTTTTAAAAATATGCACACAAGTGGGGTGAACAGTACAAGGGGCCCACTCCCTAGATGAAATGCTGTCCCATGTGTTCCATGCCTTTGCCTTTGGGTCCTTCCTCCATGAAGTATATCACCACAGACCCCTTTCCCCCGACGCACCTGTGCCTGTGCCTCTGCTCTGTAGACCTGGGAGTTTCCTCTGCAGGGTTTTGCTCAATCTCACCTGCTGGATAAGTATCACCTGCATGCCAGGAGCCAGGCTGGGTACCAAGGACGCTCTGGGAACAGAGGGAATGAAGGACTGATCTCAGAGGCACAGAGGCTGGACCTGCAGCTGGGGGAAGGTTTGTACCAGAGACAGTGGAAACACAGATAAGGGGCTGGTCCACCCCAAAGGGCAGGTGGCCAGAGGCAGCCGTGAATGGGATCTTAGAGTTGTCAGATGAGTAGGACGAAACTCTGCTTGGTCCTGCGTGGACCTCACAATCATTGCTCTGCTTGATCCCTTTGCTGCCGCCACTGTGTCAGTCCATCTCACTGGGGGTCTTCCTCCTTGTTGCTGACCTTCCACTGTACCAAGCATGATGTCCTTCTCCAGGGTTTGCATACCTTCTTGTGATAGTGTGTCTAAAGTACGTGGAGATTGTCTCACCCTCCTGGCTTCTAAGGAGCACTCTGGCTGCACTTCTTCCAACACAGATTGGTTTCTTTTTGTGGCAGTCCATGGTACTTTCAGTATTCTCCAACACCAGAACTCAAAGACATCAATTCTTCTGTGGTCTTCCTTTTCCGTTGTCCAGCTTTCACATGCATATGAGGCTACTGACAATACCATGGTTTGGATCAGGCACACCTTAGTCCTCACACTGACACTTTTACTCTTGAACACTGTAAACCTTAGAGTGCTGGTAGGAAAATGTGCTGAGATTCCATAGAAGAAGAAATGATCACCTGTAGGTGTGTTTAAAACCATTGATCTTTGTTGTGGTTGAGAACCTACACCAGTTCTCCAGTTTTCTGCATGTGCAGTTCAGGGAAATGGATCACATTCTCCGAGCTGGGCCACCATCCTCCACCCCCTCCCCCCTTTTCTGAATAACTCCTCCCCCATCAACATAAACTTTGCCCCTGAAGGCTTCTGTCTGATCTCTCTGGTATTGTTTTCCGTTTGATCCCATATCCAGTAGGTAGGTCTCTAAGCCAGCACAATGCTCAGGACATTCTCTCTAATTAAACTCAACAGGTGTGTGGTTTGAAGCAGACCCCTGGGATCTTTTTGGTTTAAGATTTAAGTCTGAATGACGATGAGAATCACTGGGGTCTCCAATGGCTCTCAGAGTCTGCCCTCACTCCGGATGTTCTGAAACCAGAATCTCGAAGTGGGTGTATTGCCTGTACAGATTCCACTCTTTAGCTACTGGGGGACCACGGGCCTGGCCTTGGAGCATCCACTGGAAACCCTCGGGGTGTGGCCTTTAGTCATGTCATATGGGACTCAGATCTGATGTGACTGAGACTGGCCCTTACCCCTGTTTCCCACCGAGGCCTCTGAAGAGCTAGCTAGGCTCTGGACTTGCTGGCCTTGGAATGCTGCTATACCAAGCCATCTTCAGGAAGGCCCTGAAGCTGGCAAACATTCAAGATCAGTCATTGTTGCCAAAAGGGAGAGACACTAAGTAAGTCTAAAGCTCGGGGACCTTGAGGCACACTGATCAGTTGGCTGGACCACCGATGTCTCGCTTCAGATTTCAAACACGCTGAGTGATTCTGTGGTGAAGAGACCTGCTGGCGCAGTGCCCGGCTGCTTAACAAAAGGTTGGCGGTTTGAACCCACCAGCCTCTCAGTCTGCTTCCAGAAAGGTGTCTGGCCTTGAAAGGCCTTTGGGGCAGCTATGCTCTGTTGTATGGGGTGGCGATGAGCCAGAACCGACCCCCGACAGTGGGCTTGGGTTTTGATTAGCCATCAAAACTTATTGATAATCACTTTTTCTCTAATTCAATTCTTTTCTTTTCTGCACTTTTCTCATGCTTTAGAGAAATGTTGCACTTTTACATCGAATGTCCCTGGTTGTTGACAATGAAGGCCCATCAACAGTTTATGCCTACTGCCCAAATGTATGCTATTACAAATGTATTCTTTTATTCTATGTTTATTGTTAATGATTTCAAAGTGGGCTGGCTGCCTTTGAAATAGTCTTTGCAGAAGGCAGTATAACATAAAGCATATTTTTATAGTATGGTGAAACATGCCACTGTACCATTCTTTTTCAGAATAAGTAAACAAACACAAGGAACCAACTTTTTTTTTTTTTTTAATAATTTGTTTTACTTTTGTTGTTGTTATCAACAATATAAGCAGGGGCTTCAAAAGTTCATAGAAAAAAATTCCATTATCTTTTAGTTCTATTTTCCCATGAACTTTTTTGACACCCCCGTGTGCCCGGCAAACCATTTATCAATTCCGTGATGTTGATGACGGAACTCATCAACTCTTAAGAGTTCTGCAACCATTCCCACGCTCCTTTACTGAGTTGTTCCTCCCTCATTCACATGAGCCACTGCCCCCTAAATTTCTTAGGTAATCTTTCAAGTTGCTGTTGTTAATTTGATAGGATATAGTTAGATCTTAAAAGAGCCCAATGCTGCAGCAATGTTCTTAACTATTTACTAGTAAAGCGAAGCTATTATTTGATGTTAAGAAGACTTTAGGGAATTAAAAATGTATTTATTTATTTATCTCTTTATTTACTTTTACTGTGAACTGAATGATCGTTTACGTGGGAGAACATCGGTTTTACATCATCATTTCATTGCAATGATTTTAATCTCTGTTCATCATCATTCAACAGTATTTGCTTCCATTCCCTCTGTTCTTCCTTTTTTTTAATTGGGGAGGGGGGAGATGTACACAAAAACACTCAGGAATATATAATAATTTAAACAACCAAAAGGACATATTCTGAAAGCTAACCTCCTGGCTGCCAGCACACAGCCTTTCTCTTTCCATGAGTCTAGTGTCCTCAGCTGCTCCCTCACTCCATGTCCTCATCTCTGTCTCCATCTCTGGTGTCGCTGCTTCTCTGCATAGGGTCTTGAGGGAATATTGTTAAAGTACAAGGTTTAAGGATTATCTCAGGGCGATAGGTCAGCCTCCATGGCTCCCGAAATCTGGATTCCATGAGAATTTAAAATTCTATTCTGCATTCCGCCCCCACCTTTGATCAGAATTCCTTTATAGACTCTTTGATCAAAATGTTCAGTAATGGTAGCTGAGCGCCATCTAGTTCTTCTGGTTTCATTGTAAAGGAGGCAGTTAGCCGCACATTCCATTTCAGGGAACCTGGTTTTTGATGCCCTTTGAGTTTGATTGTTGAGGGTGTTGGTTTTTCACATCACCAGGGCTGCACATGATGTGAAATGTGTTTCCAGAAAAGACTCACTGTCTTTTCTGTTGTGACCTCTGGCAATGTCTTCTCACGTTGCCTGTCTTCTTCCCTGCAGGCACGCACAGAGGCTGGGCCGCTGTGCAGATGCGGCTGCTGCACGAGCTCGTCTACGCTTCCAGGAGAATGGGGAACCCGGCCCTGTCTGTCAGGCACCTGTCCTTCCTCTTGCAGACCATGCTGGACTTCCTGTCTGATCAGGGTGAGTGAATTGCCCCATGGAGCTGTTTCGTTGGGTTGTCCTGTCCCTCTTCACTGGGAGTCCCGGCATGTTCTTCATAGGACTCTTGGTGACCCAGGCAAGTTCCAGTTCTGACAGTGTCCCCAGAGAGTGGCAGCTGTGTCCTCGGGGCCTGTTGGCTTCAGTGGTGCATCTGAATGTCATTGTTTTCAAGCCCCCTGCAGAATGCAGGAATGGAGCTCAGATAGTATGAACGTTGGGCTTCCTTTCCAAGGACACAGGAATAGACCAAGGCCCAGTCCTTGGAGCAGCCGTTTCTGGTGTCATTTTAGGCCGGGCTGCTGTTCCGCTCAGGCACAGGCCTTGTGCACTAAAGTATTGCGTTCTAATTGTTTAAGGGTGCTCCCCAAGGTCTCGAGGGTGCTGCCCGCCCCCCTCCACCCCATTTCTCCACTGGGATTTCTTGGGTCTCCCGGACCTTTCACCTAGAGAGGCAATGCCGGTACAATGTCCACTCTGAGTGGAGAGTGCTCTGCTCGAGCCAGCTATCATCTTCCCCTCATCCTTGGACGGAGGCACTTGCCCCTCCCTGCAATATTCTCTTGCTACCCAGTCCCCCTCATTCTGGTGTTGAAATGTGCACAGTATACTACGGATGTAGATCTTGGTGATCACACCTCATCATTGTCCAAGTGTCCTGTCTGCCTGCTTACTCTGCTCCTGCCTTAACGCCTTTGTCTTGGGCCTCCTCTCAGATCCTCCCCTGGTCCCCCTCCTCCCAGATCCTCCCCTCCTCTCGCTCCTCCCAGATCCTCCCCTGGTCCCCCTCCTCCCAGATCCTCCCCGCCTCTCGCTCCTCCCAGATCCTCCCCTTGTCTCCCTCCTCCCAGATCCTCCCCTCCTCTCCCTCCTCCCAGAT